CCTGTGAAAAGGCTAGCCGTACCATGTAAATTATCGAGATTGAATTCAAAGTATTTTTTTTCCATCCATTCAAACTTATGCAGTTATATTTAATTATTTGTTGCACATGTTGCTTTAGTTCTTCCTCTAGATCTAACACTGAACCGAATGCAGTCGTGTTTTTACTGTATATTCAGGACAGCGTTTTAAAACTGTTTCAGACAGCTTTAATATCCAGAACAGTTCATTCTTGCTGATTATATAGAATATTTTTTTTCATTATTGTACCCAAGCATATTGTCTTGAAATTTATCCATTAAGTAACGCAAATGTGAGATGTGTTGGGAGGAAGACATATCACACAAGGCACCTACAGCCACTTGGTCACACAAGAAAATAATCAGGTTATGAGAAATCTTTGACCACAGATACACTTCCCGCATTTGCTTAATCAGCGCATATAAAATTGCTAAGCATGGTAATGAAATTACATAAATATGAAATACGAATTGACCATGTTCAGATGGAGCAATCGCAGAAATATTCAAATACTTACTTCCAGACCAAACAGTCAATAGCAGGATTATACTTTGCTCGGCCAGATGTCACCTGAAAACTTGTTTTTGCTGTTTGTTTCGGTACTGGAACCTTAACGACCACTCCAAGTGCAAACATTTTTGCCCCGAAAACACTCTTCACCTGATGAAGCATGACTGTGTTAAACACGTAATACATCACAGACAATAATAAACAGATCAAAGTAAGATGACTTAACCTTTACGTTCACTTCCATGCGAGTCCTTCCCAATTCCTTGATAGTTGGCAGTACACGAAATGGAAGGTTTACTCCCTCTGTGATACGATACCTATGGCAAAGGCATTTATGATTGTAAGAAGAGCACTTGTATAAAATGGTATACAAAAAGATGGGTAAATATAAAACAGAAATTCAAACACAGAGGACTATAGGGAGAGAGACAGCAGTATCATTATGCAACACATATATATAAGCCGAGATATATTTTCAATCCATCATTTAATGTAAAATTGAAGTAACATCTTCTAAGAGTTACATAGGAATAACAATACATAATCAGTTACTTCATATTATGCAGATGCAGATTCTGAAATATAAGCTAAAGGCATTATGATAAAGATTTTCCGAAGCAAAATATTAAGAATTAGGAAAAATACATTCCAC